TTTATAAATGTTCTTGAAAATTTATTGAAATTTTTGAAATAAAAATATTTATGTAATCTTATATGGTATATAGTTTAATCTGTATATATATTTGTTTTATTATTGAATGATACTTTTTACTTATATGGTTTTAAAATCATGTTTATCTTTTTATAATAAAAATTGATCATTAATTTTTAACATAATAATTTTAATAGTTTTAGTTATTTATTCTCGTTATTTTAATTTCAAAGTATAACCTATACGAAAAAATCTAAAGTTTAGTTTTATATCTAATTTGATTGTTTAATTTATTTTAATAATATAAAATTAAAGAAAAATGATGGTGGATATATAAACTGTTATCAAATCCCTTATATATTAAAATAGAAGCATTTTGCATTAAATGTTTTCACACCACCTTCGCACAAGTTATTACCTTATTACCTTATTTACAACCTTCTCACAATTTATTACCTTATTTAAAACACACGAGCCACTTTAAAAATAAAACTACAAAGGGGATATCGCGTGAGACAATTTCAGAGGCAAGTGAATTGGCTTGAGGGTCGATGTCAAAGTTTTGGAACGACGTTATTTGGGAGGTGGGATGTATCTAAGATGATGGATGTGAAGGGCATCTTACCGAAGCCCATGAAGGCGATCTTGGTTTTCACATGGCTCGTGTGTAGCGTGAAGAGATTGAACTCATTAAAACTACAAAGTTCAACATCGCGTGAGAAAAGTTCGGAGGCAAGTGAATTGGCTTGAGGGTCGATGTCAAACTTCTGGAACGTCGTTATTTGGGAGGTGGGATGTATCTAAGATGATGGATGTCAAGGGCAACATACCGGAGCCCATGAACGCGTTCTTGGTTTGGACATGGCTCATGTGTAGCGTCAAGAGATTGAACTCAACCTTGCTAAGTTTGAGGTAGTACTGAGGGTAGATGTAAATGGTGAAGTGTGTTGTCTTCGAGAGAGAGTCCAAGGCCGTATAGTAGTCGTGCTCGAGATGGTTTTTTTATCTAATCTACGTAGGTTGGTGAGATTGGTTATGTAGTTTTCGATTTTTGGGCACAAGTTTTTAATGTCGATATTTGTATCCATAGGAAAGGACGTGGACATGAGCTATTGAACTAATTGTCGACATATATATGTGAAAGGTTTACGGCTCTTGAGATTGGACATTTCGTTATACAAGTCGAGAATTTGCTTCTCCAAATGAGCCTTTTCGGATTGTCTCAAAGCTCTCTTAATGGTGTTCACAGCAATATACTTTCATCTTCCATTTGTCCATGTCATGTGGATGACAAAAAAACAGATATATGAGACAAACGTTATACGTATGCAAAAAACGTTGTTCGTCTTTTAAATGCATGGGTCATAATTTTCTAGACAACTTATCGAGTTACTTTCTTATGTCGAGTGTAGTGTCCATACCGTCATGCTATTTCTTTCCAATTTTGACTAATCTGAGAATTCAGCTTCTCGTGTAAGAGCTGAAGAAGTACCAGTTGATAAACTATCATTCCCATCTTTTCCCTGACCCGCATATATTGAACTTATCACCCCCGAAAGCTTGATTGCCTGATCTAATCCTACCTTATCTTTCGGGTTATACTGATACTCTGCATGTTGAAGACAGCCGTAAAATAAAGAAGAATTAACCAAAAAAAAGTTATTAGTATATAGTACTACTTAGTTGCATATTCACGTCCATGATTGTACATGTTCCCTAACGATATTCATATTTACGAGAAAGCATGGTAACTAACGATCTTCGTCTTCAACAAAGAAACCTATTTCACTTATCTTGACTGGAAATATATAAAATGCAATTTTCGTGTACGTAGCATGAACTTCCGAATATGTAAGGGATGAGTTTGTTTAAACCGAGAACTCCTTTTTTTTTTGGTTAAACCGAGAACTCCTTTTTTTTTTGGTTAAACCGTTTCTTTCAATTGAAACGGTTAATGTTTCAATTTTGGTTCACAGTATATGAGTGTTTGGCAAGGGTTATTAATGATGATAGGTCATTTTCATTTATGTAAAAAGTTTGGTTTATGGCAATATTTACATTCTTGTGGTCGAAGTAAATTACTCACCAAGGTAAGGATCTTTACATTTAATTATCTTGTGCGGCAAGTCCATTAGGTTTATTATCCCCTATATAATAAACGCTCTTCTGCACATTAGGACTCATAACCTAAACGAAAACCCAGTTATTGTTCACTCATCTTTCTCTAATGGCTGCGTTTACTGCTGTGTCAGATTTGAAACCGTTCAAGTCTAAGTGGAAGATTAGGGTAAAGACCATTCGTTTGTGGAAGCAGTATTCTGCAGCCGGTGGAGAAACAATTGAGATGGTTCTAATCGATGAGAACGTAAGCATCCTTTATTATTCACGTTAGTAATATTTAGTAGTTTAATGAACCTATATAATTTTTGACTATATTTGTTGCTTTTTGTAGGGTGTTAAAATTAATGCTACTGTCAAAAAAGATCTGGTTAATCAGTTTGATTCATTCCTTTCACAAGGAAGTTCGAAGATTCTCATCAACTTTCCACTAAACCCTTCTTGTGGATCGTACCGAACAACCATACATCCATATAGAATTGGTTTTCTGTCGACAACACGCGTGAGGAATTGTGATGATTTCCCCGATGCTCTAACTGGTTTTGAACCAGTTAACTACAGGGATATTCTTGATGGTACACTCAGTACAGACTATTTGGTTGGTAAGTAACATAATTCCGGTGCTTTCATTTAATATACGAATGTATAGTCAGACGATATAACTCATATATTTTGTCTCAGATGTCATAGGTCAGATTGTTGAGGTGACTCCTATTGAAGTGGTATCAGCTAATGGTAAAGAGACTCATAAACTTACGGTCGAGCTTCGTAATGAAAAGTATGGCTCTCTTTATATTGTATGATTATTCATGATAGCAAACGTGATGACAATGATCTAATATATACATGTTTGTATATTATTTTAGGGATGATCTAATATATACATGTTTGTATATTATTTTAGGGATGATACTAATATATACATGTTTGTATATTATTTTATACAATACCTATTTATATTTAGACTATTATTTGTTTTTGGAAGAATGAGATTATGCATCTTTATTATAATGGAATTGAGTTTATTTTATTTATATTAAATTTATCATCTTCCTTAACATAGAGACTTACCATAGTGAGGGCCTCTCCAAAAACAATTTCGTAATTAATTTTATTCTTTGTGTTATCACCATAAAATCAAAATCGCAATTTAACCAAAAAGATAATATTTATAATATTGATATATAATTACACGATATTAAAAACCCGAAACAACCAATCCAAAACAAACTAATATGCAAATAAAACAGATATAATGTCTTCTTATCTTAAAAAATACAACAATTTTAATCATCTCATCCCGCGCAAGGCGCGGATCTAATCTTAGTATTTATTATTAGAATCATTAGTTGTCATATATATATATTAGTCATTTATGGTAATTCCGTAGGTTTTATTTATGGAAAGAAAATAAAATAGTAATTATATTTAGAGAAACAATCATAAATGCTTCTATCATAAATATCATATCATATTATTTGACCAACGAATGTATCCAGCGACATATAAAAATCGAATGTGGACCTACTTATTATTCAATTGAATGTAATTGACTATCTAATTGAGTGACACCTAAGCATGATGTCTTTTTTAATTATTACAAAATTAAGGTTACAATTTTTCAAATGTTTCTCCTTTAATATATAAGGGATGCGAATGAGGAGATTAGAAACTTTATTAAAATCAAATTATTTTCGAAGATAGGGTGATGAACAAAAAGAACGACTTCAGAAAATAGTTTGAAAAACATCGAAATCACCTAAATGAAGAACATAATCCACTAACTAAACATAATGATTGATCTATTGATCAAACATACTATACATACCAAAAGGAAATAATCTCAAACCCTCAAAGATAGATGATTTGGTAAGAGGGTCAAGAGAGGAGTTCTCTCTCCAAAAGAAGATAGATAAATTTTAACCTAAACATCTCTCCTTTACTTAGTCAACAATATAATAAGAAAAAACTTAAAAAGTTATAATTTTCATAATTTTGTTTTGATTTAACACGTTTATAAGTAATAAAGTGAATATAATTTATTAAATCATATGTTAGAATAATAATTATATATACTTGTATATTTAAAAACTCTAAATTTAATCAAGATATACATATATATTTATATATATCCTATTCCAAAATTTTAATATTTGTGATTACTTTGATTTAATAGAATTGATTTTATATTTTTTCGTTTCCAAATTTTATGGATATTTAAATTTTTAGATCGAATCGAAATGAATAACAAATCGAATCAAATTTAACAAATAAAATATCCAGACTTATTTTAGTATAGAAACGTTTGAAGAGTACTAATTGATACTGTAGATACAATATTTTTTATAAAATATTATTAAAATTGAGTAGTAATTTAAATATATACTCACAAAATATTAATCTGAATTTTTGTCAAAAATATTAATCCGATTAAAATTTAACTAAGACTATTTATGAATTTACCAAATTATTAATGCACATAATATTTTTTATTAACAATGCATCTAATATTAAAGGAATGTATTTTTGGGGTCAAATATTAAAAGGAATGTTTACCACAGTCAAAATTTTCCAAATTAACGTTGGTTTGATTCCCGGTAACGGGTCACCGGCAAGACCGGCAGATGTCTCAGAAAAGACGAAATAGTTATTGTTTTTTAACCTTTGTACTCTTTTGTAGTGCCGTCTTCATTTTTTCAACGCCAGCCTTCTTCTACCATAGAAGAATAATCCAACGTCGTTTGGTTTTACCAGAAAGAAAGAAGAAGACCTCTCTCCCTCTCCCAAAGGTCACCTCTTTCATTCATCTCTCTCACTGTAATCAAGTTGCATGATTGTATTTAGGACTCTAACTCAATCGTTTCTCTGCAGTGTTAACAACGATGAGGAGATTCCTTTCTAAAATCACTCCCCGGCAAATGGGTTTCACCAATTCGAACTCTCTCTTGGTAAAGTTCCAATCTTTTCTCCTATTCACTTTGCTAAATCTCCTGTTAAGAGCTGATGAATGTTGATATGATTGCTTTTAGTATGTGTGCCATGTGATTTTCTATTATAGAGATTTAGTGTTTAATTGTGGTTTTGGGATTCTTCAACAGGTTGGGTCAAGCTCAGTACCAAGAAACATTACTACTGCTACCAGCAATGCAGCTCAAGTTGATCAGACAAAACCCAACTCTGTCTCAGACATGTTGGTTGACTCATTTGGTCGGTTTCATACCTACTTGAGAATCTCCTTGACAGAGCGTTGTAACCTCAGGTGTCAGTATTGCATGCCCTCTGAAGGCGTGGAGCTTACTCCTAAGCCTCAGTTGCTGTCACAGTCTGAGATCGTTAGATTGGCTGGTCTCTTTGTTTCTTCTGGTGTTAACAAGATAAGGTTGACAGGTGGCGAGCCTACGGTGAGGAAAGACATCGAAGAGATTTGTATGCAGTTGTCTAGCTTAAAAGGGTTGAAGAATCTGGCTATTACTACTAATGGTATTACTCTTGCTAGAAAGCTGCCAAAGCTTAAAGAATGTGGGCTTGATTCCATAAACATCAGCTTGGATACTCTTGTCCCTGCAAAGTTTGAGTTTCTGACTAGACGTAAAGGGCATGAGAGGGTTATGCAGTCAATTGATTCCGCTATTGCTCTTGGATACAATCCTGTAAAGGTATGTTTCTTCATTTTCATTTGATTGCAGCAGAATGAGATTTGATGCTTTGTTGTTGTTACAGGTCAACTGTGTTGTCATGAGGGGATTGAATGATGATGAGATTTGTGATTTTGTGGAGTTGACTAGAGATAAGCCAATTAATGTCCGGTTCATAGAGTTTATGCCCTTTGATGGAAATGTTTGGAATGTAAAGAAACTTGTGTCTTATGCAGAAATGATGGATAAAGTGGTAAGGTAGATCTCTCTCAATATTTGGTCTGTTTTGAAGATTTCTTTCTTCAGCAGTCATGATTGGTTTTGGGCTGTTATGGTAACAGGTAAAGCGTTTTCCTAGTATAAAACGTGTCCAAGATCACCCTACTGAAACAGCTAAGAACTTTACAATCGATGGACACTGCGGTTCTGTGTCTTTCATCACGTCCATGACAGAACACTTCTGTTCTGGCTGCAATAGGTTGAGATTACTTGCAGATGGGAACTTCAAAGTATGCTTGTTTGGGCCTTCAGAGGTAATGCGACTGTAAAACCAATTCTTCTTGATTCAAAATGGCTGAAAACATCTACACACACTAACATGATTCCTTGTATTGCTTCTCAATAACGTTAAAGTTGAAAATCATTTTGTCTCACACCATAACTTTCCTGTGAGCAGGTTAGTTTGAGAGATCCCATCCGGTCTGGTGCGGATGACGAAACGCTAAGGGAGATTATAGGCGCTGCGGTATGTAATTTAGTTGCTTCATCATCACTCTGTTTTCGTCAAAGATTGGTTTTGTGTATGAGGCATAAAGGTTTGTTTCACAATGGGGTTTTAGGTGAAGAGGAAGAAAGCGGCACACGCTGGAATGCTTGACATTGCCAAGACAGCTAATAGACCAATGATACACATCGGTGGCTAAAAACAAAGCTACTGTAAGTTCCTTTAAGCCATTTTTTATCATTAACCAAACTGACCAGTCAATTAATGTGTAACTCAATATTTTGTGTATAATTAGGCTGCTTTAAGTTTAGAGTCAAGGATTTTGACACTTGATGTAGATAACAGTCTTTGATTCACTGATCCTTTGTGTACTCTGCATTGTTTTCTTTTCTTTTTTTTTATGGTGATCAGTGGAGTTATTTTTTCTCTTTATAGGTTGGTGAAGTTATCGGGAAACACTACAAGGAAACATTGAGTTCCGTATGTTGTATGAATCTATATCCCTGCTGCTCCAACTCTGTGACATAACTTTTTGCATACAAGAATACTGAGAGAGTTTCTTAATGTTCGTATCTGTATACGTAACAGACACTGTACAGGAACTCAGAATTTCTATGTGAATTTTTCCATTCCCATTACTTTACTATTCTACAGTCAAACTAAGAAACTATTATGTTAGTAAAATGTTTGTTTGTTTCAATTTTAAAAGATTAAGACACTTTTTAGTTCAATAAATTGGAATTTGAAGCATAGCATGAAGGATTGTGTATTAACTCCCTTGATCCACTGACTGGTCTGACAGCTCGAGAGCAAGTTATGTTAACTTTGGGAAAGGTCTTAAACATTCTAGTGGTGATAAGCTGACTTAATGATCTGTCAGGTAAAATTAATGATGTAATATTTAGTATGGATTGGTTTGTTAGATATAAGGCACATCAATGTCTTTGTGACCGAGTATGGAAAGAGAAACTTGTTTGATTGTCTCTGGCAATTCAAGTAGAATGGATGTTGAAGAGATGTGAAGCATACCTGGCTGCGATCATAATGGTAGAGGTTGGAGCGGATGCTAACTTGAATGAAATTCCGTTAGGTAAGTTTAAGGATGCGACCAGATCACTCTCAATTGGTTTTGATCCATTCATATGATTGAACATAAGCCTAGAACTACTCTAAAGTTTTCTTCTAATCATTTTAACTATTGTTGTGTCTCTCTTTCTGAGACTGGACTTAAATCAAATTCTGTTACTTTTCTAGTTTGTTTTCTGTTTTTTAACGTGGTGGTTAAAAATCAAACTTTATGTTTTCCTTGTTTTCAAATAAAAAAGAATTACATGAATATCAATGTTTTGATAGATGGATTAGTATGTGTTATGCCAGCTGATATAAAGATATTTTGAGAGATTCTCTTATAATTTAATTTATGAAAAAGCTAAAACACAGTGTTGCACATGTAATCATGATGTTCTTGGATCGAGAAATTAGGAAAATTAGACAGATAATGATGCACCTTTGAATATTCAAACAATGCCTAAACTATATGATAAAAGGGAAACCAATATAGTTGGAAAGTTAAACCAAATGGCCCAGCTTCGGCACCGCCCTCAGCCGCCACCGGAGATGCTCCACCGGCCATTGCTGCCTTCACACACACACGAAATAAAATAAAATAAAACAGGAAAGTAATAAACTTTCAACAAGATGTGACAAGTTCACACTTTTAAGGTGATGACTTCAAGTTTAAGCACCCCATGACATGTCCCTCGAGTATTTGGCTCTGCCAGAGATCATGGAACCAAACGTGAAGGGTCTTGATGTCTTTTCGACGAAAAAAGAGGAAAGTATTTTCACAGCGAAACAGTACCTGGCCATGGACGATCAAAGAAAAGTTGGTGCAGTTGCAATATCAAAATATAAAGCAAATCACTTTATTGTTCTAAAAGTAGCATATCACATTTTAGTTTAACCTGCGAGGACCCATTCATGTTCAAAAGCAAATACAGCATAAAAGCTTTGAAAAGGAGAATACATCTTACACCAAACATTTTCATATCAAATGCTCAAGCATGGTTTTCAAGAAAACGACTCAAGAGAGTTGATTTGATCTCTCTGTTCTTCAACTGCTGCAGATACTCAACCATAAGAGCTTAGAAGGAAGGTTGAGTTATGGTAAGCCTTATTTTACATACCTTTATCTTTTATTCTGAATGTGAATACTTAAGAGGTTGCTTTGAATGAACTTTGTTAAGGGGACTCCTGTAAACATTACACTCGGGTCACATGTCTGGGTAGAGGATCCAGACCTTGCATGGACTAATGGAGAAGTAACAGAAATCAAAGGCACTAATGCAACAATACTCACCGCAGATGAGAAAACAGTAAGAAAGTATTTTTCATTTTCTTATAAAACCACACAAAGAAACTAAAGTATAGATTTGATATTTACAGATTGTTGCCAGTATCTCTAGCATATATCCAAAGGATACAGAGGCGCCACCTGCAGGAGTTGATGACATGACTAAACTGGCTTACCTCCATGAGCCAGGGGTCCTCCATAATCTGGCTTGCCGATTTTCACTAAATGAGATATATGTCAGTAATCTTAAAACATACCATTGATCAAACTTTTTGAGATTATCTAATTGTAAACTTCTTGAATAAGGTAGACATACACTGGAAACATCTTGATTGCTGTGAATCCATTCCAAAGACTTCCACATTTGTATAGTGTCCATATGATGGAGCAATATAAAGGAGCAGCTTTTGGAGAGCTAAGCCCGCATCTGTTTGCTGTTGCAGACACTAGTTACAGGTAACAAGTTGTTAATCACTGAGTAGAGACTTACTGTTTTAGCTAAAGCTTTCTATATATGCCAGGGCGATGATAAATGAAGCAAAGAGCCAGTCCATTTTGGTTAGTGGAGAGAGTGGAGCTGGGAAGACAGAGACAACCAAAATGCTCATGAGATATCTTGCATTCATGGGTGGCAGATCAGATACAGAAGGGAGAAGTGTTGAACAACAAGTGTTGGAAGTGAGTTTACTTGCTCTCATTTTATTATAAATTGCTTCCACCATTCTAAAACTGTTCTGGTTTTCAGTCTAACCCAGTGTTGGAAGCTTTCGGAAACGCCAAAACTGTGAAAAACAACAACTCAAGGTGTTAGCTATTCAGACGCTTACTTTGAACATAACTATTACATCTTATGTTTTGACTGTTTGTAACTCTCAATCTTTCTTGTAACAGTCGGTTTGGAAAGTTCGTTGAGATCCAATTTGACAAGCGTGGGAAGATATCTGGAGCTGCAATCAGAACTTATCTTCTAGAACGGTCACGTGTTTGCCAAGTCTCAGACCCTGAGAGGAACTATCATTGCTTCTACATGCTATGTGCAGCACCACCTGAGGTAAAATGATCAGTAACAATTCTGAAAGAAATATAAATGGTAAAAAACTTAGCAATATGATTTTTTTTTCAGGAAGTTAAGAAGTTCAAGCTAGGGGATCCAAGGACGTTCCACTATCTGAATCAGACAAACTGCTATGAGGTTTCTAATGTAGATGATGCAAGAGAGTATTTGGAAACCAGAAATGCTATGGACATTGTTGGTATTGGACAAGAGTCACAGGTTTGTCACATGACACACTCATTTTATTAGGATACAGAATGCTGTTACTAACCAGAAACTTCAACTTTAAGGATGCCATATTCCGAGTTGTAGCTGCCATCCTCCACCTTGGAAATGTCAATTTTATGAAAGGAGAAGATGCAGATTCATCAAAACTCAGGGATGATAAATCAAGATATCATCTTCAAACAGCAGCAGAACTACTCATGTATAGACGATCTTTAACCTGAACTCTCTGCACAGTTCCAATGGCAATGCTGACAGATAATCCACTTGATGCAGGTGTGATGAAAAGATGCTGGAGGATTCACTCTGCAAGCGTGTAATTGTTACTCCTGATGGTAACATTACAAAGCCACTTGACCCTGAATCAGCAGCCTTAAACCGTGATGCTTTAGCCAAGACTGTATACTCGAGGTTATTTGACTGGTGAGTAAATCCAACCCCTGAAACAAAAATGAATATTTTGACAAATCATTATGCAAAAGCTTCTCTTGCCCTCCACAACAATTTCTAATAGAAACCACATAGACATCACAGGAGGGACCAAACACACCTTTAACATGGATTTCCTTCAGGACATTGTCTAGAACAGTTTTTTAGTTTGAGAAATCTCCAACAGTGAACTGTCTTCAAATCAATTTATGGCAGGATTGTGGACAAGATCAACAGCTCAATAGGTCAAGATCCAAATGCTACAAGCTTGATCGGGGTCCTAGATATTTATGGTTTTGAAAGCTTCAAGATCAACAGGTAAACCTGACAGAAATTCTAAACCTGAATGATTGACACACATGGAACTTAAGATCTAATACCACTGCACCTTTGATAGTTTTGAGCAGCTATGCATCAATCTCACAAATGAGAAGTTGCAGCAGCACTTCAATCAGGTAAGAAAATAACCACTGTAACCAGTTCACATTGCAAGAAACTTTTACATGGAAACTATTTTTCTTCTATGCAGCATGTATTCAAGATGGAGCAAGAGGAATACACAAGGGAGGAAATCGACTGGAGCTATGTTGAATTCGTTGACAACCAAGACGTCTTAGATCTCATTGAGAAGGTACAAAACTATATGCAACTAACATAATAAACATTTAAAAAGCAAAGGAAATAATCAATGGCATCTTCTTTCTTGCAGAAACCAGGAGGCATAATCGCTTTACTCGATGAAGCATGGTAAGTGTATCAGAAACATTCAATTCATACTGGTTCCTCTCTGATGTAACCATAAGGTTATTACATTATTGCAGCATGTTTCCCAAGTCTACCCATGAGACGTTTGCACAGAAGATGTATCAAACATATAAAGGACACAAGCGTTTCAGCAAACCTAAGCTTGCCAGAACAGCCTTCACTGTCAACCACTATGCAGGAGATGTGAGACATACAATTTGATACGCTAAGCTAAAAGTAACTACTGTAGCTAGTTACTGACTGATCTTTTCTTCCTCAGGTTACATATTCAGCAGAGTTCTTTCTCGACAAGAACAAGGACTATGTTGTGGCAGAACATCAAGCTTTGTTAGATGCATCTAAGTGCTCTTTTGTCGCTAATCTGTTTCCACCATTGGCAGAAGACGCATCAAAGCAGTCCAAGTTTTCATCAATTGGGACACGTTTCAAGGTAAGCCAATATAAAACATACCATTTGCACATTGATCAAGATCTTTATTCCTGACATAATCTACCCTCCAGCAACAACTCCAAGCGCTAATGGAGACGCTGAACACAACGGAGCCTCATTATATTAGATGTGTGAAGCCAAATACAGTTCTAAAGCCATCCATTTTCGAGAATGACACCGTCCTAAACCAACTAAGATGCGGAGTAAGCAAGCCTAATGTCTCAGGTTTACTATTTGAACAAGTTTATATTTATAAGGTTTATGTTTATAGACAATTTGCGTAAGTGAACAGGGTGTACTGGAAGCTATAAGAATCAGTTGTGCTGGTTATCCAACAAAACGAGCATTTGATGAGTTTCTTGATCGTTTTGTGATGCTAGCAACAGATGTACCAGAAGGGTATATACCTACAAAATAGCATATCTAAAAAATAAGATAGATTCTTACTTCTTCATCCAATCAACACTCAGAAATCCACATTTATTTATTGACAGATCTGATGAAAAGGCTGCATGTGCTTCAATCTGTGACAAAATGGGTTTAAAAGGCTATCAGGTATGTCAAGCTCAGCGTACATGCATTTAAAAATGCAACCCATTCATTACTAGAATTAGCCTAGCTAAATTTTGCATTCTGATGTGTAATTTCAGATAGGGAAAACAAAGATATTTCTTAGGGCTGGACAGATGGCTGAACTAGATGCGCGAAGAACCGAGGTTTTGGCAGGTGCAACTAGGCTCATTCAGAGGCAAATCAGGACTTATCTGACAAGAAAAGAGTTCCTTGGTCAGAAAAAGGCTACAATTTTTGTGCAGAAACTTGTGAGAGGTTACACTCCTTAACCAACACAAAGCTATGTATTAGAACTGTTACAAGCTGATCAAAAGCTGTCAATGACATAACATTTATTAAACTAACTTTGTGCTACTGCTTTTATAGCACAACTTGCACGAAAGTTATATCAAAACATGCGAAGGGAAGCTGCTTCAATTTGTATCCAAAAGAACACCCGTGCTCATAGAGCAAGGATGAGCTACACTAACCTCCAGGCTTCAGCAACAGTTATTCAGACTGGTTTACGGGCAATGGATGCTCGAAACATACATAGACACAGAAGAAGAACAAAGGCTGCAATTATTGTTCAGGTAATAGATTTTGACTACTTGATCTCAACTCTTTGTTTATATTAAGTCATCAAAACTTTCTGGACTTGACTTTTACAATCTCAGACTAGCCTAGTCTCAAGTAAATTGGAAATGGAAAAGTAAATTTTGATATATGTACTTTTATGAATATTCTTACTGGTATATTTTTTAACAGAGGGAATGGAGAAGATACCAAGCTCATGAATCTTATAACCAGTACAAGAAATCAACATTAGCACTGCAATGTCTGTGGAGAGCTAAAGTAGCTCGAAAAGAGCTCAAAAAGCTCAAAATGGTAAGTTTCATTGATAAGACATTAAAAATCAATCTACTTTGCATACTTCAGTCCAAGTTACTTAGAAAATTCTAAAAAAATTTTTTTCCAACAAAGGCTGCAAGAGAAACTGGGGCACTGAAGGAAGCTAAAGACAAGTTAGAGAAGCGTGTGGAAGAGCTAACCTGGCGTCTTGAATTAGAGAGACATCAAAAGGTAATAGTCAATGAACTAAAAAAAACTTAGAGTTCTTTGTATATAGTGGTCACAATTCAAAATATGTTCATTAGGTTGATCTAGAAGAAGCCAAAGCACAAGAGATAGCGAACCTACAAAATGCTTTGACTGAGTTGCAAGTGAAGCTAGATGAAGCCCAAGCTGCAATCATACAAGAGAAAGAAGCAGCAAAACTAGCCATTGAACAAGCTCCACCAGTCATCAAAGAAGTTCCAGTTGTGGACAACACTCAACTGGAGTTACTGAGCAGTCTAAACAATGAGCTAGAGGTAAAATTCTTGAGCTACTAGTTCAACCGACTAGCAGATCATTTCCTCATACAATATCTTTCAAAATGCAGGTTGAGGTAGAGAAATTAAAAGGGAAAATTGAGGAGTTTGAAGCAGTGTGTTCTGCACTTGAGAGAGATAACAAGGCAAGTCTAACTGAAACAGAAGATGCAAAAGCAAAGGCCACTCAACTTCAAGAGGTCATTGAAAGGTATTTGATATAATCAGTTTCTTGAGGCATTGAAATCATAAATCTTTTTTACAGTCAGAGTTCATGAGGTATTGTTGGTAAATATCCAGATTACAAACGAACCAGTCAAACCTTGAATCTGAAAATCAGGTCTTGCGCCAGCAGGCTTTAACTGCTTCAACAAGCGCCGTAGAGCCTGGAGAGTTAAACAGGTACTGTCTTGTGAGCTGATTTGAAATTGTATCTGATATCATCACATAATCTAAAACATCTGATATCATCATATGTAAACATAAAATCATCTTATCAGCCTTAAGGACAGGATTGCAATTCTAGAGTCAGAAAATGAAAATCTTCGCAGACAAACAACTGCTGTAGATAATACAGTACCTACTGAAGCAGTTTCTGCATCTGCAAAGGTGCAGAACTTCTATCAACATATAATTTTTAGTTAAAAACAAGTATAAAATTTGCATTAATGTGACATAACTGTGCAGGATCTTGAAAATGGACATCAAACAGAAGAGATTCAGGAGACAAAGGTAAGTTATTTTGCTAGGCCTAGTTAAGAAACAGTACTCTACAGTTATTCATCCACTTTTATTAGTTTCAGGAGCCAAGGACTCCAGTCACTGTGTTAGCAAAACAAAGCTCCCTAACAGATAGGCAACAGGTACCATTTGTAGTTGAGAGCCATAAGTTCATCACAGAAGAGTTTATAATTGAGTATTACTGGACAGGAGAGCCATGATCTGCTGCTGAAATGCCTCACAGAGGAGAGAAGGTTTGATAATGGCAGATCTGTGGCAGCCTGGATAATTTACAAGACACTACTTCAATGGAGATCATTTGAACTTGAGAAAACAAATATATTTGACAGAACTGTTCATAAAATCAGATCATCCATTGAGGTAATAAAGTAGTAACATCCTTTAACCCTATGAAAACCAAAACTTTATATTTAAGTTATACTAACTTTGGTTCTTCCAGAAGAGCCAAGATGACCCAAGGGAGCTAACGTATTGGCTCACAACAAACTCTACCCTTTTATATCTTCTACAATCTACACTCAAGTTCAGCAATACAAATAACTCTGCTTCAAGACGTAACAGACCATCTCAGACTACACTATTTGGGAGACTGGTGCAAGTAAGCTTCTTAAAAGTGAATTTCTAATTTATATGAGCATTAGTAACTGTTGGTAACAACATTGTAGGGGTTGCAATCATCTTCAGTGGGATTGGAAACATCCAGTGGCTACAGTGGGATGGTTGGTATATCAAATGACCAAAAGATTGTTGAAGCCAAGTACCCAGCGTTATTATTCAAGCAACACATAGCTGCATACGTTGAGAAAACATATGGAATGATCCGAGATAACTTGAAGAAAGAGATAAACCCGTTACTAAATCTCTGTATCCATGTCAGTATACATCCTTCATCAAGTTATTGTGAAACATATCTTAGTGATTAGCTAATCATGTAACAATGTAACAGGCACCAAGACCGACGAGAGCTAGAACATTGCGAGAAGGAAGACACTTGAGCACAACTGCAAAGCAACAAGCATCATATGTACAATGGCAGAACATCACTGAAAAGCTTGAACATACACTGATCTTGATGGCAGCAAACCATGTAAGAGAACGCACTTTGGAAGATCATTAACTTGTTATATTTTTCCTGTTTCTTGACTTGTGTCTTAATGATCTTCAGGTCCCATCTATGATCACAAGAAAACTATTCCATCAAGTTTTCTCGTACATAAATGTGCAGCTCTTTAACAGGTGCATACATATATTGCATACGACACAAGTAGCTAAAGAACTAAATTAAGACGTTGCTTGACTTACAAAGTTTGTATCTTCTGACAGTTTGTTGCTTCGTCGAGAGTGTTGTTCGTTTAGCAACGGCGAGTATCTGAAAATGGGTTTGCATGAATTAGAGCAGTGGTGCCTGAAGACAGAAGACGAGGTAGTCTAAAGCATTACTTGACCAAACTATGCAAAGGGCAAAAAAAAAACAAGACAAAGATTAATTACATAGTCGTATATAATGTTCTCTTGTACAGGCAGCACGGTCACCATGGGATGAACTTCAACACATTAGGCAAGCAGTGAAGTTTCTGGTACAAACAACTTCGAACTACATCTATCCTTGAAAATTCATAACCGATGAAAACAAAATCGGCATTCATATATTATACACTATCACTCTACAGGTCTTGCATCAAAAGACACAGAAATCATTAGACGAAATTACAAAAGAGATATGCCCGGTACTAAGCATTCCACAAGTATATCGCATTGGGACTATGTTTTGGGACGACAAGTATGGAACTCAAGGACTCTCCCCTGAGGTAAGTAATGTATATCAAAACTAAACCAACTCCAAAACATGTTCAGGAAAAGACACAACACCATTGATTAAACTATTTGTGCTGATAATAGGTGATCAAATTAGTGGCCGAAGATTCAGTCAACATGACTTACCCTTCTTTCTTGCTAGATGTTGACTCAAGGTACGCTTTAAAAAAAAAGAAAAAAACTAATATCTTGCTTTCTCCCTACTTACTTGCAAAGCAAGTCACCGTTTCTTTCATGTATCTTTCAGCATTCCTTTCTCAGTGGAAGATGTTTCACAATCCTTCCACGGCGGGACCATTAGCCTCTCCGACGTTGATCCACCGCCGCTTCTCCGGCAGCGATCTGATTTCCACTTCTTATTCCAGACATTGCCTGAGTAAACATCGTCTGAGAGTAAGGAGGACAACACCTAATGGTGAAGTCAAAATTATTTATTAAGCTATCTATGATGTTCTTTCATTTATTACCGAAAGTGAAGCTTTTGCCATTTTATTTCCATTTGTTTTCTCACATTGAGCTACGAAGCTTCTCTTCTATGCTTTTCTTTATTCTTTTTGTTTGTTTGTTTGTTTTTTGTTTTTGGCTCTATTCTTTACAATTTGGATGTGTGTATAGGCAGGCAGACTTGAGATTCAAATGACACATGCGTGGTGTGTACTCTTTCTTTTTGGTCTTTAATTGCTATCCAAATTGTTTTAACATCTAAAGACAATATGCTGCAATCCCATTTCTGATATCAACATACCTTTGAAATTGTTTCATTTAAACAAATGGATACACAAAATGATATGGACAGATAATGAATACTTATGAGATAATTATTCGGATAATCTTCTAAAGAAACAAAGTTTGAAAATACCTAAAATTATCAAAAAGAATCTAAATGATTTATAATGGTTGACTATTTCAATGCCCCATTTAGCATAGTCAACTATTAGTTCGAAAATAATTTTGTGCAAACCATACTTACATATTAAATATGCCGATTTAAAATAGTTAGGGAATAAAAACTATATTTTCTATTATGTATTTCTAAATCAAAATATCAATCGAGTTCTTAAAAATCGAGTTAAGAAAATTTATCGATGAAACCAACTAGAGAAATCTACTTGGGGTTTTGTGAGGAGATAAAAATCATTTAAAGACAAGTATATATGTATTTGCTTCTAATGCACAACATAGATGGTCTAAAGCAGAAATTCATAAAAACCTATAGAAGTGATCTTACTTTACTTTTTGTTAATTTTGAGGACAAATATTTAAATTTGAAAGCTTATACACATTTATGTTATATAAGTACTGCAAAACTGTTAATATTACCAACTTTAGATATAATCTCCCTGTAGTTTGCGTTTGTAAGATCAGTCTTAGATAGTTTTGGATATTTATTTTAGATAAATGTATGTTGTACATAAACTATAGGATACATATACACTACAAGAATTTATTGAATTAGCTATGGACTAGCTAAAGTATTCCTGTAGCTAAATTAATTAGCTACAAATATAGCGACAGAATACAAAATTTTAATTGTGTAGCTAAATTTATAGCTAGTTGTAACAATCTGTAGCTACATAGCTACAGATAGATTCCGTCGGTGGTCTTTAGCTAAATAACTACAACTTGGCTAAGAATAAAGGGTTGCTATAATTTTTTTATTTAGCAACAAATAGCTACAATCTATACTATTAAAAATAAAGATATCCTTGAAAAATCGACTGATGGAAATTGTGTGCACCCTTATTAATGGTATTTTGGTAATTTGTTTTTTTGGCTTACATCCCCCTATATATTAAAAGAGAAGTCACTTTAATGAATTTTGCTTACGTGTCATTCATAGGTGCAATGTAGAATTAATTCTCTTAATTTGATTGGTTGTTGGCATTTGAATTTTTATTTATTTAATTAAAGTTTTTTAAAAGGAAACTAATCTTAGAATTACCAAATCTAATATATATTACCAAACAAAAAATTAACCATCTTAAATACATAGGATTAATAGAATTTGTTTATAGAAACAATTAAATATTACATATTCCATTATAAAAATTTAGAATATACATATAAATACATATTATATTATAGAAATAAGTATATAAACGATTTAATTTTTTTTATTAATAGTGGATAAAAAATCATACATTACAGAAAACTAATAATATTTTTATACTCACTCACTATATATATGTATTCTTAAAATATGTTCAATGAATGCAAAACAGTCAAATGTAAAAATTTTAAAAAATTCTATCATTTTCCAGAGATAAATGTCGATATTATAATTGAGTTATCACATTCAAAAATTATTTAAGTACTTTTATATTTAAAATAGAAAATTATATGATATGTAATTTTTAAAAATATGAATAAACGAAAAAGTTTATTAAAATATAAAATTACAAAAAATGAAAACATTATATTAATACAAGACTAGAGTTAATATTCTATTCATATAATTCATATAGCTTTAAGTATATTAAAATTGGCATGTTTATTTTTAATTAGAAATAAAAAAGAAAAAAGACATAAAAAAAACAGGAGTGAATAATAATAAAACATTTTGTTGTATTCTTCGTTATTTTGTATTTGTACATACATAATTTTTTATTTGTATACCAAAATATTTTTACGTATTAGTATAATTGTAAAATAATTATTTTTAGGTGTTTATATTTATACAACATAAAGAAAAATTGAGCAAGGAGATAAATATAAATGATAAGTTATAAAAAATTTAAAGTTGAAGATGCAAAATATAACGCAAATTAAATTTAAAATAAATTATTTTAAAATAATGATAAGTATTTTTTCTGTGTAATAAACTTTTTAAATATATGATAACAAAGTTATAACAAAATTTATACAACTAGAAACATGTTATTTTGATATATTAAAACTGTTGAATCTCATGTTTATATTATTCTATGTCTAAAATAATGAATCACATCATTTAAGAATTAAAATATTTTATGTTATATAATTATTTAATCAAATTTACTTTTTTGAAATACAGTTATTTAGATTTACTTAAAATATGTATGTAATGAAGTAACTAAAAAAAACAAAATTAATAATAAGATATTTATTTTTTCATTGAAATTTATTTAAGTACTTTTATATTTAAAATAGAAAATTATATGATATGTCATTTTTTAAAAATATGAATAAACGAAAAAGTTTATTAAAATATAAAATTACAAAAAATGAAAACATTATATTAATACAAGACTAGAGTTAATATTCTATTCATATAATTCATATAGCTTTAAGTATATTAAAATTGGCATGTTTATTTTTAATTAGAAATAAAAAAGAAAAAAGACATAAAAAAAACAGGAGTGAATAATAATAAAACATTTTGTTGTATTCTTCGTTATTTTGTATTTGTACATACATAATTTTTTATTTGTATACCAAAATATTTTTACGTATTAGTATAATTGTAAAATAATTATTTTTAGGTGTTTATATTTATACAACATAAAGAAAAATTGAGCAAGGAGATAAATATAAATGATAAGTTATAAAAAATTTAAAGTTGAAGATGCAAAATATAACGCAAATTAAATTTAAAATAAATTATTTTAAAATAAAGATAAGTATTTTTTTCTGTGTAATAAACTTTTTAAATATATGATAACAAAGTTATAACAAAATTTATACAACTAGAAACATGTTATTTTGATATATTAAAACTGTTGAATCTCATGTTTATATTATTCTATGTCTAAAATAATGAATCACATCATTTAAGAATTAAAATATTTTATGTTATATAATTATTTAATCAAATTTACTTTTTTGAAATACAGTTATTTAGATTTACTTAAAATATGTATGTAATGAAGTAACTAAAAAAAACAAAATTAATAATAAGATATTTATTTTTTCATTGAAAATCTTGGTCAAAGGAATCAATGTTTGATAAGATAGTGTGAAGATTGGAGAGAATTTGATAATGAATTTATTTGGTTAGCCAATTGTGATTTTATATTAAATTCTAAATAAAAAATATGTAAGAAAGGGAGAAAGAGAGGGAGATATGGTGATGATAAGGATTAGATAGTCGGTTATGATCATAATGAAGATGAAAGTGAATATAAGTGAGAGACTGAATATAAGTGAGATAGATTCTGAAATCATTTATTAATACTATGTGAAAGTGTTTTGAAGATTTAACAAAATCTGGTGAAAATTTTGCAACTAAAGAGAGATAGAAAGAGTTTTAAAGTGAAATATCGAGGATCATATTAAGGACAAGGCTAAGAGAATGAATATAGGTGATTGTGAGAGAGTGAATGTAAGTTTAAGAGATTTTGAGATTATTTGATCAACTAAGAGAGAGAGAAAGAAAAAGAGAGAGAGAGAGGTGTACAAAGACATACAAAAATAATGCAAAGAGAGATACATAAGAAATAAAACGAATGTGTGAAAAAATACAAGGAGAAACAAAATGAGTAAGATAGAAAAATATATTAAAAATAGAGTATTTATGTAAAAGAGAAAGAAAGTTACAATATATTTATACATTTATATTATATTTTATTCATGCAATGTGTAGATTATATTAATGTCCGCACAAGCGTGCAGGCCGTCCACCTAGTATATTATATATCAGTTGTTACAAATCATATCACATATTAAATATATCCAATTTATTCTCTCTCTTCTCATTAATTACTCTAACCATATTCTATATTATATTTCATACATTTATATTGTCTTATAAACTTTATATTACCGTTTTAATTTATAGATTGACTACATAAATATTTATTATAATATAAATTAAATATATAGTGTTCAGATGCTCTCATACTTATAAATGTTTACATAATATATAATTCCATATACTGTATAATAAAATCAAGAAAAATAATATTTTTATCAAATAAAAATATACTAAATTATATTTTAATAAAGTAATTTAGATATTATATTAACTATAATTTTTTATTCTTTTAATATATATTTTAATATTTTGCATTAATAAATTGAAGTATGTTGCAAACTCTATGAATATATGTTGTCATGAATATGTAATTCTTTTATTTTATAGTTTATAAAATATTTTTAATTAAGTTATTATATATATATTATTTATTGTAGTAATTTAATTATGAATATGAATAATGTATTTATAAATATTATAGTAGTGGTATTTCTTATTTAATAAATCCAAATGAATTAAAATTAATGGTAATAATATTTAAAAGTACATTCTATTATTTAAAATAAATATTAAAACAATAAATATTTATATTTTACTGAAAAATATATTAAAATATATTGGCAAAATGCAATATTAGAAAATATCTGGGTAATATCTTTGATATCTGATTTTGAAAATATTTAGATAATATAGGGAAGTTAACTCAACTAGTATGAATTTTATTAATTATTATCACAACCATACAAAACTTTTTTTTATTACTACCTTTTTTTTAATACCCAGCGTGCCCTTTTTTCATGTTGTGAGAAAAAACATATTTACAAGAATGCCATTACTTTTTTATGCCACGTAAGCAGAAAGTTTGGGTCCACGTAAGAATGCGGCATAAAACTCAGCCGCAATAGGATACGAACTACGTTACGGCCGAGATATAGGTGCGTAGCGGCTGACTTAACTAACCTAGCTGACTTATGAGAAATAAGCTGAGTTATGAACATAACTCAGTCGATCGTTACGGCTGACTTAAAAAAATCTGGCTGGTTTATGTGATAACGG